AACAACAACAACAACTAGGGTTACAGATCATACGTGCACAGGTTTATTCCAGACAACACATGTTTAAACATGTCTCTATAGTCCGATGGCTGCGGACAAATTCTCTCTGTCTCCTTTGGGTGCCTTCAAACACGGGTCCAAACAAAACAGTGACTTTTGATGGGATCTTCTGGGTCAGTTAAGTTTAAGGTGAAGAGGTCAGCTCTAAGAGTTATGGTGACTACTTTTTGAGATTCCCAAATGATAGATTTTCCCAAAGGACACCAGGTAACCACCAGGGTTTATTATGAAGAAGTTTTAAGAAAATTGAAAGTTGAATTGGTGAGAAAAAGACTAGGAAATTTGCACCAAGGGATTTTCCTTTTCCACCACGACCATGAATCTGCTCATTCTTCAAGGGTAGCAAGGGCTTTCCTATGAGAATTTTCTTACCCCATCCACCCTACAACCCTAATCTTGTTCCTTCAGACTTTGTTTATGGTCCCCAAACTCAAAAAACATTTAAAAAGAACATGATTTAAATTCCACAATGATACCAAAACTGTCGTTTTCACTTGGTGTAAATCGAAGAGCACAGAACTCTTGGGGAAAGGATTGTTGTTGCTTTGAGCTTTGAATCAGTTCTGACTCATAGTGACCCTGTATAGGGTTTCTGAGGAATGGCTAGAGAGAAACGCTGCCTTCAGAAGTGTATAGACGCAGATGGAGGATATGAAGAGAAACACATTTAAAAAGTTTGCTATGGTTCCATAGCAGTACTTTCTGACTTATTCACATGTATCAGTATCCTAGACCTAGTTGCTGTGGAGTTAATCTGACTTATAGCAACATCCTGTGTGTCAGTAAAGGACACTGGATTTTCAATGACTCGTTTTTAGAATCAGGTCACCAAGCCTTTATTTTGTCATGTGTCTGTACGCTAGCCAACAATATATAATAAGTAAAAGCGTCTTTTATGGCTTCCAGGAAACATCTCTGAAGGATTTTTTTCTTCTTTTCTGTTTCTTCCTTCTTTTTGATGGCTAGAATATCGATGCGTTTTGAAAGACTATCTTAGTCAAAGAGAACAAATCCATATGCAAACATGGTGAAGAAGCCAGACAGTAGGAACTTGGATCCCAAAAAGCTTAGATGTGCTGTCCTTCCAGAGCCAGGCCAACTACCTAGAGCTGCCATTACGCGAGTGATATGCTCCATGTTTGCAGCATTAGGATTGTGTGTGTGTGTGTGTGTGTGTGTCAATGGCTTGCAGCTGAGCCTAATTTACATACCCCAACAGTAGAAAAATGAGCACATATACTAAAATATAGTTTCCCAAAGAAAAATCAAATTAGTCAAGCAGCACCTAACTACAGATTTTAACAATATTTGTCACTGTCCAATTCCAAAAGTCACAAATATATTTAATGCCGTCTGTCATATCACACGGTGGTTACGAGAGCAATGTAAGGAGCAGGACAGCTTGATCGAGTTTCTGCTGTGTCATTTACTAGCTAGGTTAACTGAGAAATTTACTTACATTGTTTGTGCTTCCATTTCTTCATCTGTAATAATACTAAATTAATGACAGTCCATACTTTTAAATTTCTAAGGATGATGAAAAAAATGCATCGCCAGCTTAGTGTCTGGCATTTGTCGGCATAGTGATGTTATATTAAAACAGGTTTAAAAACAAAAAGGAACAAAATGAGTGCTTATTGCAACAGTGAATTCTCTACCAACTTTTGGGAAAGTGATTTGGCGCTATACATTGCCTTTGAAACACTCTTAACTGTTCACCTATTTGTCCACTTTCAGTGTTCCAGCCTGATTAAGTAATCAGAGATGGGTGCAAATGTTGATGCAAAACGATGTTCACGCCAACATTATTAGTAACAGTGGACAGTGGAAGTAGCCTAAATAGTAGAAGATTAACGCATTGTGATATGCTCATATTTCAATCATTAGAAATAATCAAGTTTTCCAAGGAGAAAATGAAAATGAGTTTAAAAATCATTGGCATGCCTGTGTTAGCTAAAGCCCCAGCATGGAGGAAATTGACAAAAAAACAATTTTAGGAATTTGTTTAGTCTGGAGTAACCTGTGGGAAGAACCAGGGTCTGCCTGTACTTTTACTGCATTAGACGTCCGAGCACGCTCATCCCAGTGCCCCGAGTGCATTCCTCCTGTTACAGACAGACACACAGTCTCCTGGCAGACTCCTACAAAATGCCACAATTCAGGATCTGCTAGGGTAGCATCCCACCACTAGACTGTGAGACTTTAATTAGGAAAATGTATCAAGAGCCTTAACAAAGTCACCACTCTCTGATCAAGGATACCTCTTCCAGAATGCTATCATGAGAAAATATTCTGAAACAAAAGCTTTGTATGCAGTGCTATTTATAATACGGTGAACCAAAAAAAGCCAAATATTGGATAATAAAGCATAGTTAAATAAACAATGGAATGTTATAATTATAGACTATTATGCAATCATTAAAGTATGTTTAAGGAGCCCTGGTGACACAGTGGTTAAGCACATGGTGTTAACCAAAAGGTTGGTGTTTCAAATCCTCAGCTGCTCCATGAGAGATGGATAAGGCAGTCTGCTTCTGAAAAGATTTATAGCCTGGGAAAACCACTGGGGCAGGTCTGCTCTGCCTTGTACAGGTGCTATGAATTGGAATCCACTTGACAACAATGGGTAAGGGTGTGTTTACGGAAGTTTTTAATAACAGTGGAAAATATTTATGTTATATAAAGCAAAATAATTAGTATGTGTTGTTTAATCTTGACTGGGTATAGGACAAGATGAGCAAAAATTCTGAGGAGAAAAATATAATTTGTTTAATAATAATTATCATGCCACATATGATTTGATATCCTTAACCTATAATAGTATGGTTCACTTACATAAAATATTCAGGAGAGGGAGAGTAACATTAAAATAATTTGATTAGAAATTGTCTTCTCAGTCTCTTCTTTATACTTTCCGATATTTTATAGATGTCCTACATTAAACACGTTTTACTTTTATAATTAAAATAAGTAAAGTCACTGTTTAAATAACTACAACCAGAAATGCATTTATTAAATTTATTTTTTATTTTTGGTGTTTCAAAAGGACAGACTATCACTTCCATCACACATGGTGGGGTGGAACACCCTGCAAGATGAGTTTCAACAAGGAAAGAGCAGGGAGGATAACCTGCTAGATCCACCAATTAAACTTTCCCCACAGACACACAATTACTTTTATGGAATAATTTCTTCAAGGTGCTTCTGAGTGGATTTGAACCTCCAACCTTTTGGCTAACAACCAAGTATGTTAACTGTTTGCACTGCTATGGACGCCTTCCTTATGCATGTTGTTCTTAAGTGCCATCGAGTTGGTTCCTACTCATACAGTATAGGTGTTCCTACTCACTGTATAGGTGAGTTTGAACTAGTGAGTTTGAACTGCCAACCTTGTGGTTCAAATCGATCTTGTCTAGTGCTTTATCCCACAGCACCACACCAGGACTCCTTATGCTTAGAACAGGAAAAAAAAAAAAATCATTTTACATGCAAGTAGTAATGAATCTAGACTGAAAGAACTTGGAAGGTTGAATGCTTACAGTCAATATTTAAAGTAACATAGACTCTTTCTTCTGATTTTACTCCAGTGTTACTAGAAAATATTGGAGAAGAGCTAGATCCTATTCTGGAACCTCTTCTACTAAAACAGACCTTTAAGCAAGGTGGCAGTATATGTATCCGACTTGGGGATTCTACGATTGAGTATGCACCTGACTTCCGCTTCTATATTACCACCAAGTTAAGAAATCCTCATTATCTTCCTGAAACATCAGTAAAGGCCAGTATCTAAAATAAATGTTTCTTTAGTCAAATCTTACAATTAATTATTCTATTTTCCTCCTGACTCATAAGAAGAACAGAGCTTCCTAAGAAAAATGGATTTTTGCCCTTTCTTGACATTTTCTAAAATTGTTATAATAATTCCCAAATGCTGCTTTTGTGTATGCTTGCAGGTAATAAAGAAGCCCTCAGTATGCTGTGAAAAAGACCACTGAAGCTAATTTCTACAATTGATAATCTTAGATTTTCATTAAAATTAGATGACATGCTCACATTCTTTCTTTGTAATAAATGATAATATGCTAATTATTAGAACTGGAATTCAGGAACAGAACTCCATTCTTCTTTCTCAGATTCAGGTTGCTGCTTTCTGATTTTATATAATTACTCAAAAGAACTGTTTTTGATCATTGGTTCTTTCAAAAGACTGAAAAATCCTTTTAAAAGTAAAGTTGGTTTAAAGTTTTTCATCAGGGACTAAACTAACACTTGAGAGCTTGATCTGCCATGAAGCCCTGAGGTTAGGGCCTATGCCTTAGTCCATTTTCTATTCTCAGTTCTCAGCACCTGGTTGGCACTAAGTAAATGTTTGTGGAATGAGCTTATGAGTGACGCAATGAATGAGGGATTGTTTTAATTTAGAGAAGCAGCCAGTAGAGGATATTAAGAAATATCAACTCCGATTTTGAAGTTTACAAATACAGGCAAGATTCATCCAGTAAATTCAGAATAGGACCTAGCTCTTCACCAACTTTCCTGGAGTAAAATCAGAAAAAGATTCCATGTTACTTTGAATATTGACATAGACATCTTTCTGCCAAGAAGCAGAGGAAGGACTGTTGTTGTTATGTGCTGTCGAGTCGATTCCAACCCATAGTGACCTTGTATAAGGTTTCCAAGGAGCAGCTAGTGAGCTTGAACCACTGGCTTTGCAGTCTGACACATTAGCCCACAGCGCCACACCAGAACTACGACAGTGTAATTAATTCTCTCAAAGATGAATAAAACATGGCCCCTACTCTGAAAAGGTTTACATTTTAAATGGTACATAGGCAAAATGGCAGTATTGCATAATTAGAAAGCCAGAGATGTAGGGTGCCCTAGGAGATCAGAATTGGGGACGTTCTTTGGACATTCAAGAAGTACTAGGGACCCTAATACAGTTGTTGGGGGCCCTTAAGTTCAATCTTAAAAGCAAAATGTTAAAATATTATTGTCCACTGTTTAGAATCAATTAGAATACTATATATTGTCTAAAAACTGAATTCTAAAATTCCTTGTGATTGTTCCACCTATTAGGAGAGGCAGTATATCCAGTGGTAGTTAAGAGCTTAGACTTAGAAGCCAAACTGCCTCAGTTTGAATTCCAGCTCTACCACGACCAGCTGTGTGATGTTGGGCATGTTATGTAACCTCTCTGTGACTCAAGTCCCTCATATCTACAGTGGGAATATGAAAAGTCTCCATCTCATAGGGTGATTTGAAGATTAATAAATTAACTTATCAAAATGCTTAGAATAAGGCCTAGCACACAGTGTTAACTATTAGCATTAACTATTAGTATTGTTATTTAATGTAAAGGAAAGTGAGAATGAACCAATGATGATAAAATCCTAAAAACCAGTCTCCCACTATCCCCAAAGATTTAAAAATAAATGCATGAAAACCTTCTTTAGTTTTCACTAAAATGTGCAAGCACATCACTCATAACATAAACAATTCTTAGTTGACTAGTAACTGGTTATAGTAGAAGTCATAAAACTGTGGGAAGGAAACTGATCTACGATTCAGTATTAGAGTCCTTATGGTCCCTAGACAGTCTTGTTGCTTCATTATTTTTTTAATTGCTGGGATTGATTAAACAGGGATTAGAAAACATAGTAAGGTAGTTACTTGCTTTCATTTACAAATTAAAATACTTCCTCCTGATCCTATTTTTAAGATTTTTTTTTAATGTACCTTTTGCTTTCAAAGGCAAACCCAAGGGATGGTATCATGTTGTCATAATCCTTTTGAGTCTAAATGAAAATAAAATTATGAAACTATATTCGTATGATTTTAAGTGTTTATTATGAACAAATGGCTGGATTTGCAAGTGTGAATTTTGGAAGATCCAGTATTAATTAAATAAGAATTAATTACTCCTTGTATGTGAATATGATGAAGTAAAAGCTATAAAACAGGCATTTTGCCAATTCTGTGCCTTGGTCATTGGATTAAACTAAATGGAACCTGTGCACTTGGCTTATCTACCATCAGGGAAAATCTCTTGGAGATGATCATTAGAATTTTAGAGAATTATATAACAAATGTAGTGAATTTTTCAAATTGCTCAATTTCAAAAATATCGCTATTTGTAATTGTACCCATATAGTCCATACTCTGAGGTTGACAGTTCAAGCCCACTAGTTCTTCCTAAGAAATCAAATACCAGGTCACTATGAGTTGTTATTCATAAGGTTTTCAGTGACTAAAGATTAGGAAGTTGTTCCTCACTCCTTCTTCCTAGTTTGTCTTCATCTGGAAGCTCATCTGAAACCTATTCACCATGGGTCACCCTGATGGTATTTAAAATACCAGTGGCATAGCTTCCAGAATCACAGCAACTCACAAGCCACCACAGTATGACAAACTGACAGATGTGTGGTGGAATGATGCAGAAAGCATCAAAAGAAGATGGAAGGAATACACAGAGTCACTGTACCAAAAGGAAATGGTTGATGTTCATCTGTTTCAAGTGGTAGCACTATGTATAATCAAGAGTCAGTGATACTGAGGGAAGAAATCCAAGGTGCATTGAAGGACTTGGCAAAGAACAAGGCACCAGGAATTGATGGAATCAAAATTGAAATCTTTCAAGAAAGTAAGGCGGCACTGGAGGAGGCACTCCCTCATCTTTGCCAAGAGATTTGGAAGACAACTATCTGGCTAACTGATTGGAAGAGATCCATATTTGTGCCCATTCCAAAGATAGATGACCCAATGGAATGCGGAAATCATTGGACAATATCTTTGATAGCCCATGCCAGTAAAGTTTTTCTAAAAGTAATACAGAAATGGAGACAAGCATACATTGACAGAGAACTTCCAGAGGTTCAAGCTGGATTCAGAAGAAGCCGTGGAATGAGGGATATCATTGCTGATGTCCCATGGATCTTGGCTGAAAGCCAAGAATATCAGAAAGATGTTTACTTGTGCTTTATTGACTATGCAAAGGCTCTTCATTGTGTGAATCATGACAAGCTATGGACAACATTGTGAAGTATAAGTATTCCTGAACACTTAATTCTGCTCATGAGGAATCTGTACATGGACCAAGAGGCAGTTGTTTGAACAGAACACGGGAACACTGAATGTTTTAAAATTAAGAAAGGTTGTCTTCTTTTACCATATTTATTCAACCTGTATGTTGAGCAAATACTCTGAGAAACTGGGTTTTATGAAGAAAAACATAGCATCAGGATTGGAGGAAGACTCATCAAGAACCTGTGATATGCAGATGATACAACCCTGCTTGCTGAAAGTGAAGAAGACTTAAAATATTTATTGATGAAGCTCAAAGAGCACAGCCTTTGGTATGGATTACATCTCAATGTCAAGAAAACAAAAAACATCACCATTGGACCAATAAACAACATTCTTATCAATGGAGAAAAGATTGAAGTTGTCAAGGACTTCATTCTTCTTGGATCAACTATCAACAGTCACAGAAGCAGCAGTCAAGAAATCAAACGACGTATTGCATTAGGCAAATCTGCTGCACGACCTTTTTAAAGTGTTGAAGAGCAAAGATGTCAGCTTGAGGAGTAAGGTGCGCCTGACCCAGGCTATGGTATTTTCAATAACCTTATATGCATACGAAAACTGGACAGTGAATAAGGAAGACCATAGAAGAATGGATGCCTTTGAGTTACGATGTTGGAGGAGAATATTGAAAGTGCAATGGGCTGCCAAAAGAGCCACTAGATCTGTGTTGGAAGAAGTGAAGCCAGAATGCTCCTTGGAGACCAGGATGGCCAAACTTTGTCTCTCATACTTCGGACTTATTGTCAGGAGGGACCAGTTGCTGGAGAAGGATCTCATGTTTGGTAAGGTGGAGGGTCAGAGAAAAAGAGGAAGACCCCCAGTGAGATGGATTGGCAAAGTGGCAGCATCAATGGGCTCAAATGTAGCAACGATAGTGAGATTGGCCCAGGATCAGGCAGTGTTTCGTTCTGTTGTGCGTAAGGTCACTATGAGTCGGTACCGACTTGATGTCACCTAACAACAACAACAACAATATGAGTCAGAACCGACTCCACAACATTTAACAAAACAACAATCTGTTCTTAGTGGCATTCAAGCCCTGCTGTGCCCGGCAGGGAAAGTGAGGTGGGGGCAAGTGTAAACCAGAGGAGACTCACCAAGGAGAAGGTGCCTGGGTTTAGGAGTACTTCCTAGGAGTCCTGCAAGATGCTATGGAGACTTTCTGACCTCAAGTAGGACATTTTCATAGAAGAACAAAATTAGTATGTTCCTGCCGAGGAACTAATCTCCTACTAAAATACTAGGAATTATCAAAGCATAAATTCGCTATTTTATCTATTATCTTTTCACCTGTTAGGAGAGGCAGTATCCAGTAATAGTTAAGAGTAAGTTACGCATGTTTCCTTCACAGCAACAAAAACTAGAAATTGATGGATAAAAAGAGAGAATAGCAATATTAGGAACACCATTATCTATTTTCAGATTGGAAGAATGGAAAACCTCTGAGCCTTAGCAAAAGTAAACAGTTTACAAACCAGCAAGACTGCCAAGGAGGAAAAAAAAATTGATCCTGCCCTTGTTTTTAACCTTCTGGTAGCTAGGGAAATATTGACCATCATTAGTAGGGGCAGTTTGTACACAGCACAAAGGTTGTAGTCTGTAAAATGAAATCTGTCCCTCATTCCTTTGTCTAGCATTGACCCTAATCCACACAAGATGCTTCCTAACTAGCAGAACCTGAGGAAAAATTAGTAGTCGAAACAAGAGCAACCCTTGTGTAATGCAAGTCACTCCTGTAGTAAACTGTGTGTGTTTGCTTGAGTGAACAGAATGCATGTGTAGTTTGACAATTCAGTTGTTTTGTTTCTTTTCTACTAGTTATCTTGTTTCTAAAGTTCTAAGCAAAAAATAAAATAAAATAAAAAAATAAAATAAAACACTGCAATCAGATTGTTGTTGTTACTAAGTGCCATCTAGTCGATTCTGAACCATAGTAGTGACTCTGTATAGGATTTCCAAGGAGCAGCTAGTAATCTTGAACCAACGACCTTGAAGTTCAAACCACTTTGCAGTCTGATGCATTAACCCACAGCACCACACTAGATTAGTGTATACCAAAGTGGCATTCTTTTAACTGCTGCAATATAGGTAAATTATAATATATAATTAACATTTTCATACAATATGAAAAACTTGTCAGTAATGTATAAAGTTTGGTCTTACATGGCTTTACAAAAATACTTTCTATTGAGGAATTTCCCTTCAAGAGAGAAAGGATGAAAACTGGGATCAGAGTCACTTCTGATGGTTTGTGGTGATGGTGGTGGTTGTGTACCGTTAAGTCGGTTCTGACTCATAGTGACCCTGTAGAGGGTTTCCGAGTAGATCTTAATGGAAGCAGAAAGCCTCATCTTTCTCCCTCAGAGCATCTGGTAGATTCAAACTGCTGACCTTGCTGTTTGAAGTCCAACACATAACCCACTATGCTACCAGGGCTCCTTTGGTTTGTAGTCATTGATAAAATTTTTTGTTGTATTTTCAAGGATAAGATGCTAGCACATTTACTAACACTGATGATTTCAAGCTTTGGCCTCTCAGATATGCATAATAGAAAATGTTCAACTGTTTATGTTATTGTTAAATGCCATCAAATTAGTCCCAACTCGTAGTGACCCTGTATAGGGCTTTTAAGGAGCAGCTGGTGACTTTGAACAATGAAGAATCTGACTTGGCATCTATCTGCCTATAGAGTTTTCACTGATGGAATATAGTAAATTGCCTATATTCCCCCAGACGTGCTTTACCTGCTCTTGCTTGCTTCATTCATTTGCTTAGGTTGTTTACTTGCCTGGCTTTCCATTAGAATTATAGGGTGTGTTTAAAAGTCCCCACTCCAGACAACTTATAGCAGGATCTCTGAGGATGAGACGCGGATGTCAGTGCTTTGTAAACTCCACAGGTGATTGTAATACACAGCCAAACTATACGGGATTTTAAGACAGAGTGACCTACTTGCAAGAGCCAGCCAGCGGGTACCTAGAAAAAGCACGTGTTAGCAGCTAGTATCTTGATGGACACCATTGAAATGTAAATTCCTTACTTCACAATAGTGACTGATTATCACATTGTAAAAACATATTACTCATGACAAGTAATTACAGGATGTTCTTGTCTTTCTTATCACATTCCCAAGATTTCCTTGACTTTGGACACACTGAGATTCTTAAAATGTAAATCAGCTCATCCAGGCGATTTGAAGGACACCTTCCAGTGTGATTCTAATCCATTTTGGTTTTAAAGAGTTGTCAGAAATGTGACCAGCTTGAAATGCGAATGAATTGATCACTAAACAAAACCCTTAGAAGTATTACATGTCACTCTATGAGAAACTTTTCTGTTGTTTTGTGGTTGTTGTGTGCTGTAGAGTTGAATCCCACTCATAGTGACCCTGTGGGACAGAGTAGTACTGTTCCTTTGGATTTCTTAGAACAGGGGTAGACAATGTCCGGCCCACAGGCCATGTAAGGCCAGCGAAATAATTTGGTCTGACCCTACCAAGGCAACCACAATTCCAGCCATCACATTGTTGTTGTTGTTGTTAAGTGCTTTTGAGTCCTTTCTGACTCTTAGCGACCCTGTATACAGTTTCCAAGGAGTGGCTGGTGAGTTGGAACCACCGACTTTGTGGCTCAAACTGACCTTGTGGCCCAATGCTTTATCCCACAGCGCCACACCAGGACTCCATCACATTGGTGGTGGTGGTGTTAAGTGGCATTGAGTTGGTTCTGACTAATAGTGACCCTGTATAGGATTTCCGAGGTGCGGCTGGTGAGTTTGAACTGCTGACCTAGTGGTTTAAATTAGGAGTGAGTTAATAAAATATTTGACTAAATATAGCAGACTAGTTTTTCAATTGATAATTTTGTGCGGCCCGCAAATGCTGCTATAAATTCTGGCAGAAAAAAAGGTTCCTCATCTCTGTCTTAGATTATGGATTTTTAATCCAATAATTGTACTTGCCTATATATTTAATCATGTTGTTGTTAGCTGTCATTGAATTGTCCCCAACTCCTGGCAACCCAGGTGCAACTGTACTGAACTTTTGTGATCCATAGGATTTTTTTGGAAGTAGATTCCCAGACCTTCCTAGTCTTACTCTGGAAGTTCCACTGATGCTTGTTCAGCAGCATGTTGTTGTTGTTAAGTGCCGTCAAGTCGATTGCGACCCTGTGTAGGGTTTCCAAGGAGCAGCTGGTGAGCTTGAACCACTGACCTTGCAGTTCGAACCACTTTGCAGTCTGACGCATTAGCCCACAGTGCCACACCAGGACTCCTAGAAACATGCAGATCTCCACTGACAGACAGGTACAGGCTCCCCATGAGGTATGCTGTCAGGAAATCGAACCCTCATTTCCCACATGGAAGGCAAGAATTCGACCATCACTACCTCCATATATTTACTAATGCTGTTGCTGTTGTTAGGTGCTGCTGTGTTGGTTCCTACTCATAGCGACCTTATACACAACAGAGGGAAACACGGTTAGACTCCTGTCATCCTCACACTTTTGCAGGCAATGTGTCCTTTATCTTCTACTTTTCATGTACTTTAAGGTCAGAACTTGAAGCATATCAGCAGAGACTTTTTTCAGTGGGACTATCAATATGATTTTTGTGTATTTCTTTCACATAGGTAACACTTTTGAACTTCATGATAACTTCTGAGGGAATGCAAGATCAGCTTCTGGGAATTGTGGTGGCACGAGAAAGGCCAGACCTTGAAGAAGAAAAGCAAGCTTTGATATTACAAGGAGCAGAAAACAAAAGGTTTTAAACATTGTAAAACACAGAATTGTTCTCTCTTGTTTCAAGATTACTTAGAATGAATTAAAGTACATTTTAAAGATCTCCTTTGGCAGATTTTATAGGTACACTGAATAGGAAAATTTAAGAACATAATGGAGTCCTGGTGTGCACTGTAGAATCAACACTGGACTGCTAACCTCAAGGTCAGCAGTTCAAACTCACCAGCTGCTTCTTGGAACTGTATATAGGCTCTCTATGCATTGGAACTGACACGACAGCACTTAGCATCAACAACAACATGTTAATTTAGAGAGCACAGTTGCTCCATATGATAAGCACTGGACTGCAAACCACAAGGTCTGAGGTTTGAGACTGCCAGCCACTCTGCAGGAGAATGATGAGGCTTTCTACTCCCTGGGAGAGTTAAAGCCTCAGAAGCCCTTTATACGGGGTCTCTATTTGTCCGAACCCACTTGACAGCATTTAACAACAACAATAACATTAATTTGTTGTTGTTGAAGTGCTGTGGAGTCCTTTCCAACTCATAGCGACCCTGTATAGGGTTTCTGGGGAACAGCTGGTGAGTTTAAACCGCCAATCTTGCAGTTCAAACCAACCTTGTAGTTGAATGCTTATCCTTCAGCACAGTGCCAAAGTAGGAACATAGTAGGAATGAAAAAGCTGCATTCCATTTTCTGTCCATAATAAATATATCACAGGTAGAAAGGGTAAAGCTATATAAGTCATGCAAAATTTCAGAAAATAAATGGAGTGATTCTCTTTGTTCACTGTAGGATGAGATAGTTGATGGCAGAATAGATTGGCTTCTCATATTTCTCTCCAGTTACCACATAAATGATCATTAAGAGGAGAACTGGAGCAGAAAGGATGGTCTTTGTGACATTTTGCAAGATAAGAAATTAATTATATAACATCATCATTATGGATATTTGTCACAAAGTGATGCATTTCTTTAGATTACAGTCTCTTTTTTTCTTGTAAAAGAACGTATACGTGAAGTGGTTTACAATTATTTCTTTTGCTTCTGAGAAAATTGTGTTTTATTTCAGGCAGTTAAAAGAAATAGAAGACAAGATTTTAGAAGTTCTTTCATCTTCAGAAGGCAATATATTGGAAGATGAAACTGCTATTAAGATATTATCTTCCTCCAAGGCTTTGGCTGATGAGATTTCTCAAAAGCAGGAAGTAGCAGAAGAGACAGAGAAAAAGATTGATGCCACCCGCATGGGCTATCGCCCCATCTCCATCCACTCCACCATCCTGTTTTTTTCTATTGCTGATTTGGCTAACATCGAGCCGATGTACCAGTACTCACTGACCTGGTTTATTAACCTTTTCATCCTGTCTATTGAAAATTCAGAGAAATCAGAAATTTTAGCAAAAAGGTATGTAAAAGAAATACTAATTACTAATTAATGCATGACTATCAGGGAGTAAATGACAGATTTCATTGTTGTTTCAGAATCGTGCAAGCATCACAGCCACTTAGCTAAAATGAACTTGATTAATCATTGTACCAGAAATAAATTAGAGGGTTAGAAATTGAACAGATGTGTCCAAATTTAGTCTGCCAGCAAATTGTTTGCAGAGATCACAGGGCTATTATGTAATGCCAAAAAAACTAAATATATACATCAGTTTATCGTTTGTAAACTGTACTGAGACTAAAGGTGTGAAAAGAGTAGCTAATACCACCAAAAGAAATGAGCCTTGCCCCCTATGAGCCTTCATTCCAAATGTTATAAATTCACATTTTGATCCACGCACAAATGAGATTTGTCAAGTCACAGGAATAACAAACTGGAGTGGTTTTTTGTGCGTTATCAGAGCTGCCTTTTTGTGTTACTGCTAGTTGTATAAAATACCTTATTTTACTGTTGACTCTTTGGAAACAGGATAGCTATGAGTCGGAACCAACTCTACAGCATTTAACAACATTAAAACAGGTAATGGAATTAGGGTCATCTGTTGTAACATGCCTTTCAGAGAATAACACTTCATTTAATTTTTAATTAGTGAGATAATTTTCTTAGTTTGGGATTCAAAAATATTTTTAGTAAGGTCTAAAATGAAATTACTTATTTGAACAAAGAAAATAATTAATTGCAGCCTTTGCTCTTTATATGACTTATATGAATGAATATAAAACTAGATACATCAGTTTCTGATTGTTTATAGCTATAAGAGAAACTCAAGTCAGTACTTATCAGGAAGAATTATTATTTAGAAATCCAAAATGCTCACCTCAGTGAAATCTGAATGAAATCCTTTCACTTGTCATGGTACAGGTCTGAAATTTTAAATATTCTTAGACTGAGCAAATTTTTTGCTCATGTCATTCATTATTTTCCAAGCTTGTGATATGAGAATAATAAAGGTATAATGTTGAAGCTTTTTGCTTGTCAGACAGTGTTTCAGATTCCTACCCATGAGAAATAGAGGGAGGGAAAGAAGTTATAGGGGGAAAGTGCATGATGATAATTTAGAGGGTTTAGAGAGAGAGAGAGAGAGAACACTGAATGTTTTAAAATTAAGAAAGGTGTGCGAAAAGGTTGTATTCTTTCACCATACTTATTCAACCTGTATGCTGAGCAAATAAACTGAGAAGCTGGGTTCTATGAAGAAAAACGTGGCCTCAGGATTGAAGGAAGACTGATTAACAACCTGCGATAGGCAAATGATACAGCCTTGCTTGCTGAAAGTGAAGAGGACTTAAAGCATTTACTGCTGAAGATCAAATAGCACAGCCTTCGGTATGGATTGCATCTCAGTGTCAAGAAACCAAAAATCTTCACCACTGGACCAATAAACAACATTCTTATCAATGAAGAAAAGACTGAAGTTGTCAAGGACTTCATTCTTCTTGGATCATGGACTGCCAAAAGAACCAATGGATCTGTTTTGGAAGAAGTGTACCTAGAGTGCTCCTTGGAGGCCAAGATGGCTAAACTTCGTCTCTCATGCTTTGGACATATTGTCAGGAGGGAACAGTTGCTGGAGAAAAATATCATGCTTGATAAGATGGAGGGTCGGAGAAAAAGAGGAAGACCCCCAAAGAGATGGATCGGCCAGGTGGCAGCATTGATGGACTCAAGTGTGGCAGCGGTAGTGAGGTTGCCCAGGATCAGACATTGTTTCGTTCTGCTGTACATGGGGTCGCTATGAGTAGGTTCTGACTAGATGGCACCTGACAACAACAACAACAATAGTGTAGTGGAGTCCTGGTGTGGCACTGTGGGTTAATGCGCCAGACTGCAAAGCTGTTTGAACTGCAAGATCGGCGGTTCAAGCTCACCAGCTGCTCCTCGGAAACCCTATACAGGGTCGCTATGTGTTAGAATGGACTCGACGGCACTTCACAACAACAACAAGTAGTGTAGTAGATTATGAACTGGGCTTCTAACTTCCAAGTCAACAGTTTGAATCTACCAATTGCTCTGAGGAAGAAAGATGAGGCTTTCTGTTCCCGTAAAGGTTTACAGCCTGGGAAACACCTATACAAGCTGTGAGTCAGAACCAATTCCATGGCACACAACCACAACCACCACTACCTAGCATTTAATATGGTACTGGTGTGGCACTGTGGGTTAATACGCCAGACTGCAAAGCTGTTTGAACTGCAAGGTTAGTGGTTCAAGCTCACCAGCTGCTCCTTGGAAACCCTATACAGGGTTGCTATGGGTCAGAATCAACTCGATGGCACTCAACAACAACAACAATCACATTGTAGAGGAGCTCTGGTAGCGTAGTGGTTACGAATCGGACTGCTAATTTCACGGTCAGCAGTTAGAAACTACCAGCTGTTCCATGGGAGAATGATGAGGTTTTCTGCTCCCGTAAAGACTGACAGCCTCGGAAACCCTGTGCAGGGTCCCTGTGAGTCAGAACTGACTCCACAGCACATAACAACAACAACAATCATATTGTAGCCACATAGTAAATGCTTTTTTTGTTTTTACTGCAGATCTTAATTTTACCTCTGTTAAAAACAGTCACCACCATGATGACTTAAAATCAAGGTATTTGCTGGAGTCTAGAAACAAATATTGCTTTGTTCTGCCGCTTAAAAGGCAAATTTTGTTTTCAGGTTAAATATTCAGAACACCTTTCTGATTTTCAAATAATTATTGTTCCTTCATTATCTCTTGCCAAGGAGTTCTTGTGGTATAGTGGGTTAGGTGTTGGGTTGCTAACTGCAAGGTCAGCAATTCAAATCCAGCAACTGTTCCACAGGAGAAAGATGAGGGTTTTTTGCTCCTGTTAAGATTTACAGACTTGGAAACCCTCTGTTGTTGTTGTTAGGTGGCATTGAATCAGTTCCAACTCATAGCAGCCCTATGCACAACAGAACGAAACCCTATACAGGGTCATTCTGAGTCGGAACCAACTCGATAGCACACAACTGCCACCACCACCAATCCCTTATTATTACAAACTAGGACTGATTCATATACCCGGCATCATTTTCTCAACTGTCCCTTACAATATAAAGAAAGTCAGATCCTTTTTAGCCCAACCTTTGTATGCAATTTCAACAAAATGTGACCTTTTGTTTTTAGTAAAATCCTCTAATTTGCTAATAATTAAAATCATGGTGTATGACTAAAGTGACTGCAATGATCTAGGAAAGTAGTTTGGGAACTAAAGAATAAACAGAGAAAATTTGGTTTTAAGCATTTACTAGGCTATTAATATGTAGAAATGTGCAGAATGGATTGCTCAGGGAATTTCTACTAAATGAACACACCTGTATAGCTAACAACCCAGCTGAAGATTCAACATTATCAACAGCTCAGGAAGCCCTATTCATTCTCATTTCTAGTCACTAAACTCCCCCTAGCGTAGTGGTTACGAATTGCGCTGCTAACCTCAAGGTCAGCAGTTCAAAACTACCAGCTGTTCCGTAGGAGAAAGATGAGCCACTTTCTGCTCCCGTAAAGATTTACAGCCTCGGAAACCCCCGTACAGGGTCGCTATGAGTCGGAATGGATTCCACGGCACATAGCCACCACCACCAAACTCCCCCAACCTACTCCCCCAGGGTCACCACTGTCCAGGCTTACACAACTATCGATTTATTTTGCTTGTTTTAAGACTTCATATGAATAGAATCACACAAGATGTCTTCTTGTTCCCAGCTTCTGGCACACTCAAAGTGTTCTGTGAGAATCATCCATGTTGTTGGGTATAGTACAGTAGTTTGCTCACTCTCATTGTTGGATGGTATTTCACGGTGTGAATATTGTTTTTATTGTTAAGTGCCATTCGACTTGTTTCCAACTCATTAGCAACCCTGTATAGGGTTTCTGAGGAGCTGCTGGTAAATTTGAATCTCCAATCTTGTGGTTCAAACCCACTTTGTAATCTAGTGCTTACCCTATAATGCCACACCAGGGCTCCATGTGAATATTACATACTTCACTTATCTATTCTACTGTTGAATCTATTTGGATAGTTTCATATTTGAGGCTACTGTGAATTATGCTGCCTTGAGCATTCTTATGCATGACTTTTGGCAAAACAAAAAAAAATGTATATAAATATCTGGTGGGTATATGTCTAAGAATGGAATTGATTCTAAGCTATGCAGATAGTAAGTTTTAGTAAATCGTGCCAAATAGTGTTGCAAATAAACTGTACCAAGAGAGACTTTTTAGCCAGTCTACTTTAGTCCTGTGTGTGGTGCTGTAGGATAAACACTGGACTGCTATCCACAAGGTCAGTGGTTCAAACTCATCCACACTCCTCAGAAACCCTACACAAGGTTACTAGGAGTCAGAACTAACTCGATGGCACTTAACAACAACAACAACTTCAGTAAAATAAGAATTTTCATTTAAGTAAGCTAAACTCCCAAATCAGAAATTAAAGCAAGAATGAGTTCTCATAAGAATCCCTTATTTACCGGCCAAATACCGATAAACATTAGACTGTAATTATATCACAAATAGAGAGGATGTGACTATTAATACGAGCCTACCAATTTGTTTTACAACCTTGTTATTGTTAAGTGACTAATAGCAACCCTGTATAGGGTTTCCGAGGAGCAGCTGATGGGTTTGACCTTGGGTCCAGCAGTCCAAATTAGTGCCACAAAGATATCTATTTCCTTTTTCTCAAAGAAGTAAACATATTTAAATTCTATTGGTCTTCTGATGGTTATTATTTATAATAAAAAGTTGTTTAAGTATGACACCAAACATATATCATATTATGACAAGTACACTGTGCAAATGACCATAATAATTGATATCATGTGTTATAAATTTTTTACTGCATCTGCACTTATTGTAACAAAATAAACAGCAGTAGCAAATGAATATATAAGCAAAACTCTTACTAGTATATATATTTATATATACATATATTTAACTTTTTTCAAGGACCAAACTGGAATCTATTTATATATATGAGAACTTCAAAAAGTTCATGGAAAAATTCCATTGTCTTTCAGTTCCATTGTTCCACAGACTTTTTGAAGCCACCTCATAACATAGTGTTGTTGCTCTTAAGTGCCATCAGGTCAGTTGTTATTTATTTTGTTTATTGTTAAGTGTTAAGATTCATAGCAACCCTGTATAGGGTTTCCTAGAAGCCGCTGGTGGGTTTGAACTGCCGACCTTGTGGTTTGAAGTCCAGTGCTGATCCTACAGCTCCACACCAGGACTTCATTATACATAGCACATGCATGTAATCATGCTGCCTGTGTTAAGTGCCTTAGAGGCGGTTCCGACTCATAGTGACCCTGTACAGGATTGATTTACAAGGAGCAGTTGGTGAGTTTGAAGCACCCATCTCACGGTTAGCAGTCCAGTGCTTATCCTACAGCGCCACACCAGGACTCCTTCATGCAAGTATACACATCTACAAACACACAGAGTTTTGTTTCATTTTCCTTTCAGTTAGATCAAGATCATTTTCTCATTTAATTAATACCCTTCTAAAAGATATTTTTTAGTAGCTATGTAATACACCAATGTTGTGGATAAGCACTAGATTGTTAACCACAAGGTTGGCAGTTCAAACCCACCAACCCCTCCTTGGAAATCCTATACAGAATCAACTGGATTGGCCCTTAACAACAACAGCACCAACAACACAATGTGTCATATTATGAATGTATCATATTTTTTTTCATTGTAAAACCTATAAGTAGTCTTTAGGTCTTGCTATTATAAATAATGCTGCAATAAGCATAAATGTTCTCATTGTTGATTATCTCCTTAGGCTAGAACCCAGTATTAGAACAAAAAGTGTCCACTTCTTTCAGACTCCTGATGTAAATTTTTCTCCTGCAAAGTTATTTAAATGTCCAACTCCATCATCAGAGCATGAATGACCTCATGCTCATGTATCAATGACCAGCATTGAAAATGAGAATGTTCATCTTCCTTTTTCACTGTAATAGATTATTAAAGCATCATATTTTAATAATCATAGTTTAATGAGATTGAACTTGAATTTATAATGTGATTTTATCATTTTCCCATCCAGTTTATTATCTACAACAGTTGATTTGCCTAAAAGGGCAGAACATTTTATTCTAGTCTAGAAAGACCAAATATGTGTCACCCTGTACTAATTGTACTGTTGGGATGAGACAAATCAAATGCCATGATGAGAAGACTACCTACTAGTATAACAAAGGAGTTAGGATCGTATTATTATTTTAAACCTGCAAAGAATTCAGCTATATTTCAGCAACTAGTTTAAAGATTGTCTCTACTAAATCCTGTTTCAGAATTCCCAACTAGAAATAGGATAACATCAGTTTATTGTAATTCCTTCTGTGGGAATGCTGGTAGGGAATAAAATAGGTAAATAAATGGCAAAGTAAAGAAAAATAGGGGTGGGGTGAAATAAAGGGAATGATCCACAGTCTAAGATAACAGTCTTCAAATAAACAATAACTGATTTTTTTGGCAGCTTTTTTTCTAAGTGCCATGAGTCAGTTTCAACTCATAGCAACCCTGTATAGGATTTCTGAGGAGTGTCTGGTGACTTTGAACTGCTGACCTTTTGATTAGCAGTCCAGTATTTATCCTACAGTTCCACAACACCAATATAATTTGTTCAGCTATACTCAAACTATGCTGTCTTTTTCCTTCAGATAAATTAACCAGCCTAGAAAGTTTGGACCATTGATTCATGCCAATTGTAAATTCTATAAAAATGTTTTCAGCCAACCTTTTATTTCTAGTATAAATATTACAAAGTATGCCATAAAAATATTTTTTAAACTTTCATTTCGAAGATAATCTGTTTCATTTTATGAGATCATTATGTGAAAATACTTCAAGTGTTGTATACATTGGATAAAGATTAGTGTGAACACAATCACACATGTTAGTTTCTTTTTGTTAAGTGCCTTGGAGGCAATTCCGATTCACAACAACCCTGTACAGAATTACTAGGGATTTCTTAGGAAGAAATACTATGATTGCTCATATTTCCCTGTTTTTTCTGTGTTGTAGCTGAAAGTGTAGTTCTTCAAATTTTGTAATTTCTTCCATTTCTACGGAATTATGAGCAGTGTAGCATACATAGCACTAACTTTATGTTAATTAAACAAAGGAGCTATTCATTTTAGTTTACTTAATTAAGTACTATATAATATGAAACATTACTTAGTACTTATGGAAAACATTTTACCCCAAAGAAATAAATGCCTTATAGCTAAAAAAGAGTCCATAAACATATTAATGCAACAGATTAATAGAGCACACACTGACTTTTTCCCAAAAGGAAAATTAAGTTGTTTTTGGTTTTTTTCTAAATCAGTCGACAGTCGACAGCATTTCTACTCAAGTGTTTCTGTGTTGTGTCGCTCTCAAATTGGTGCACTGGGTTAATGAAGGTCCTTGATTGTTGGGGAGGTAATTGACCAGAAAGTTTATTAGAAAAACATACAGCTAAATGGTTGTAAAAAGTTTTGCTTAGAGAATTTTCACTGAAACATGCCTTTTTATTTATTTTTCTTTCTGTTGACCTTCAGGCTCCAGATTCTCAAGGATCACTTCACTTACTCCCTCTATGTTAATGTCTGCCGGTCCCTCTTTGAAAAGGATAAACTGCTGTTTTCCTTTTGTCTCACTGTAAATCTGCTAATCCACGATCATGCGGTAGTATTGTTTTGGTATTACTGTTTTTCTCTGTAGGAAGAGAAAGTAATATTGATGTTGATTTACTAATTTACCAATTTACATGAATTGTGTTGGTGGTGTGCCATGGCATCATCGGTTTCAACTCATAACGGCCCTGCATAGGGTATTTGAGGCTATAAATCTTCTCAGAGCAGAAAGCAGCTTCATCTGTCTCTTGTGAAACTGCTGGTAGTTTCAAACTGCTGACCTTCAAGTTAACAGCCCAACTCGTAACCATTACACCACCAGAGCTCCTTAATTGTTTCTATAATTAGTACAAAACAGCACAACTAGTTTTTACATTTCTCACAGGTGAAAATAAGCTGACCACAGAGTTCATTATACTACTATTATTTAAACTTTCATGTTTTAGTGTAAAATACATTAGCTTCTACTAGAATGGCATCAAGTATACATACAAACTTACTAAATATATTAATAGATTTATATGGATACGATGGAAATTTTTTAAAGCATGTGTGCAAGTTAGTCATCGCTAGCCATTTAAATGTTGGCACTCAACAATATTTGTATACATTTTTTGCTTTTGTTTAAAATCTATTTATATAAAATATAGGAACATTTTTAGAAAAGGAGAGGTAAAAATGGAAGAATTTTTCATGAAAATTCACTATGTGCATGAATTGTAGTGTGATTTCATACGGTGATGCAGTGCTTGAATTCTAAAAGGGTAAAGCTTTTATCCTTGCCTTTCTTACAAAAGTTTTATAGCACTTCCTCATTACGCCTTATGAAAAATTGAAAACATGACAGTATGACTTTGTCATACTAATTGTTGACTTCTTGCTGCATTGTTTTCCAAAGGTTAATGCAAATGAGTGGCGGTTTTTGCTGACTGGTGGCATTGGACTGGATAACCCTCATGCCAATCCTTGTACATGGCTTCCTCAAAAATCTTGGGATGAAATATGTCGACTAGATGATTTACCTGCTTTTAAAACCATTCGTAGGGAGTTTTTGCACCTGAAGGATGGATGGAAAAAAGTATATGATAGCTTGGTAGGTTTTTAGCCCTCTTTCTTACTTCAAATATTTCAAATACAGAGTGAATGTTTGACTACAGAAAATAATACTCAATTTATCTTTAATAAAACCAATTTTCAAATCAGCTTTAAACACTTAAGTGAGATGTTAAAAAACTTTGAATTGAAATTACACCACCTTTTAAATCCGAAGTTCCATTAAAACGTGTGTGGAGATGCAAAAAAGTTAAATGGTCCTTAACAATATTCTTGTTGAAAATTTTGTTGAGTTTTTATTATCAATTTAGATTTTAGAAATTATAACAACAAAATTGTCAAAATTTCAAGACCACCTATTTTAAAATTTTATGAATGAAAGGTATAAACTAACACCTCGGGTGAAAGAAAAGTTAATAATGCTAAAATAATTTTTATGAGACTTTTCTCTTGAAAACTGAGGAATATTATTATTGACAAAAGCCGTTTGAACTTCAAGGTTGGTCGGTGGTTCAAGCTCACTAGCTGCTCCACGGAAACCCTATACAGGGTCGATATGGATCAGAACTGACTAGATGGCACTTCACAACAACAACAACCATGATACTCAGTTTCCCTTCTGGGATTCATAGCCATAGATGCCTTCTCCCAATTTTTCTTTAGCATAAAGCTAACATTTTAACAAATCAGTTAAATTTTTAAATCCTTTGTCTCTACTCTCTTAATGGAAAAATTGCAGTAACTAAAGGTACAGGTGCACAGCTGATTATTGTAATTATTAGCAGCAACAAGTTGTATAAGAACTTGAATTGGCAAGAGTTGTGTGATATATAATAATAATAATAATAATAATAATAATAATAATAATAATAATAAGGGTAATTGTACAACCAAAAACCTCAAGGGATTTGGTTCCTTGATTTGGAGGTTTGGGGTCATGGTTTCATGAGACATTGTAGTTAATTGGCCTAGTACTTCTGTTCTACCTCCTACTTCATTGCATAGTTCCCAGAGTAAAAATCTTGCAAAGAGCCATCCAAGTCATCTCAATTGGTCTCTATTTACCCAGAGCAATAAAGGAAGAAGGAGAGTCAGGAATAAAATCTGCCATCTTGAAGTAATGACTATCATTTATAGATACACCAGGAAAATAAACAATGGATTGATTTCTAGCTACAGTGTATTTGTAACTAATTGTCTCCAGGAGACCAGAACTGGATGGTGCTTGACCACCACTGCTGAATATTTTGATCAAAATTTACATAGCAGAATCTTGATAAAAGGGGGGAAACACCGAACAGAATTTCAAGTTGTTATGGACTCCAGGTATTTTGGAGCCATGCATGCTGGATGAACCCCTTAAAACTATTGCCCTGACATATCATTAAACCGTCAACTAAAAATATCTCCTGAAATCCTCTTAACACCGAACAATAGTTTAGCTTAACTAGTAAAGAATGCCTGCTTTAAGCATTATTCTCTTTTAAGATCAATCTATGTGGGATCAAATTGAAAACAGCCACTCAAAAGATTCAATAGGAACCTTAGAGAGCATTGAGTTTATCTTGCTAAACAGTCTCAGAAAAGGAGGATGAGAATTAATTAATGCTATTGAATTGTGTGCTGTAGGGTAAGCACTGGATTGCAAGGTCAGTTTGAACCACAAGGTTGGCCGTTCAAACTCACTAACGGCACCTCAGAAACCCTATACAGGGGTCACTATGGGTCAGAACCTACTCAACGGCACTTAACAACAACTGAATTGTACATGTAGACACTGTTGTACTGGTATTGGTTTTGCTGTGTATATTCTCAACAACAACAACAAAAACATACTTTTCCTTTTAGACACAATCTTCAAAATAACATTGAACTATATCTACTGAAATTTTAGGAACCACATCATGAGATTTTCCCTGATGTTTGGGAAGAGAAAGCAAATGAGTTTCAAAGGATGCTTATCATTCGCTGCCTGAGGCCAGACAAGGTAAATGCAGACTTTGAAAGTAGTTCAATGGTTCTAGTCCCTCTTTTCTCCACAGTCCAGCCAACGGTGCATTTATTTCCTCATGTAATCATGTGGGAGGTAGAGGAACATGGGGGAAGAGTCACTTCTTTTCAATGTAGCTCTTTTTCATAAAGCTTGTATGTTTATTAAAAACCACACTGACTTGGAAACTGAGGAGATTATATTTTGTAGATTATATTTTGTATATTTTATGATTGCTTTCAAATTTTTTATTCCCCCCCCCCCAATTTCTCACAAACTTCTCCCCTTACATGTTGCAGTTTTAACTTTATTCTGACTGCTTAGGTGAAAGTAATCAATACCATGGTTGTCAGGGACTTGAAAAAATGTGTGGAAAGGGTCCATTGTCTTTTCATTCCGTTGTTTTTTTTTTTCCACTAACTGTTTGAAGCCCCCTCATACTAGAATCTCTGGTTGCCTCAACTGCTAAGTAGAATACTGTTTTTACAAAGTTCATCCTTATTGACTCCTAAGGAAAATATCCGTGTTGTCTCTTTTAGCCTCTTAGGTATTACATAAGAAAGAATCAGCTAACCTATCATGTCAACAGGATTCAATACTCATTTGTACTATAGTCTACAAAGCAAAACAAAAAAGTCTATTCACCTAAGATTATTGACCCATATCCCCAGAAATGCTTAATTACACTTTGCAAAAATAGGTGGCATTGCTGGTTAATGCGCTGGACTGCAAAGTTGGTTTGAATGGCAAGGTCAGTGGTTCAAACTTACCAGTTGCTCCTCAGAAACCCTATACAGGCTTGCTATGAGTCAAAACAGACTCGGTGGCACTTAAAAACAACAACAATAATCCCCAGAGACACCTATATTATGAAAAAATATAGACATGAAGTATGCTGGGGGAAAAATTGAGAAAATATCCTAATTGTTCCTTGTGACTACTCAGCTAAAGGGTGTGTGTAATTATTTCAAATCTTATCTATACTTAGAGCTTAACTTAGAGGTTAAGGACTATAATACCTGCATCTTAGGGAAGAAAAGCAGAACTTAGATAGCTAAAGCAATATTCATTTGTTTATAGACATCAGTGATCAGATGAAGTCATACATGCTTTCTTCTGTAAGCTGTGATCTGTTCAGTGAATGCATGTAATTTTCACTTGACTTAACAGTATACTTTGAGCCAGAGCTGACCACAGTCAGCACAGTGCCTGCTAGACCAGTGCTAATATTTGTACTAGTACAAAGTATATTTTACGTCAGCACATTTTTTGCCTTCCATCTTCTTCTGTTTTCACTCCTCTCCCCTAAAAATAACAGAACTAAAAATCCACATATGACAAGCTGTTTACAGCTCTAGTTTGGATACTCATTAAACCACCAGTAGGAAAAACTGAAACTGTTATTGTTTCTTCTAAAAAATGCAGATATATACATATGGAGTCATGGGGTGGCGCTATGGGATAAGCACTGGACCACAAGGTCAGTTTGAACTACAAGGTCAGTGGTTCAAACTTACCAGTTGCTC